AGCCCTCCCCGCCCCAGCCCAGCCCAGCCCAGCCCGGCTCGGCTCTCCCCGCCGGCTGCGCGGTCTTGCTGCCGTCTGCTCTCTCCGGCCGCGGCTACTCCGGCCCTTCCCGTGCCCCGCTGGCGATCGGGCAGCGCTGGCAGCGCCGCCTCCTCTCCGGCTCCGGCTCCGCGGCCATCCCGGAGCTCCCCGAGCCCCGGGGGCTGGCGGCTGCTGCGCGCAGGCAGCGCGGTGCGCTCAGCCTCCCGCCCCGCTTCATCCCCGGCGTGCCCGCGGAGCCCCTGGGCAGCCGGCGGCATGGCAGCCGTGCGCAGGAAGTTTGGGGACGAGTACCAGGCCGTGGGCCTCGCTCGCTGCAGCGCTCGCAGGGAGCGGCAGCGCTTCGTGGACAAGAACGGGCGCTGCAACGTGCAGCACGGCAACCTGGGCGGCGAGACCAGCCGCTACCTGTCCGACCTCTTCACCACGCTGGTGGACCTCAAGTGGCGCTGGAACCTGCTCATCTTCCTGCTGACCTACACGGTGGCCTGGCTGGTGATGGCTTCGTTGTGGTGGGGCATCGCCTACCTGCGCGGGGACCTGCAGCAGGCGCACGGTGACACGTACAGCCCGTGTGTGGCCAACGTGTACAACTTCCCCTCCGCCTTCCTCTTCTTCGTGGAGACCGAGGCCACCATCGGCTACGGGCACCGCTACATCACGGAGCGCTGCCCCGAGGGCATCGTGCTGTTCCTCTTCCAGTCGCTGCTGGGCTCCGTCGTGGATGCGTTCCTCATCGGCTGCATGTTCATCAAGATGTCGCAGCCCAAGAAGCGAGCTGAGACGCTCATGTTCAGCCGTGCCGCCGTCATCTCGCAGCGCGATGCCAAGCTCTGCCTCATGTTTCGTGTGGGCAACCTCCGCAACAGCCACATGGTGTCTGCCCAGATCCGCTGCAAGCTGATCAAGGTGGGTCCTGCCGCGGCACTGCGTGGCACAGGGCACCTGGGTGACACGGGCCAGCTGCGGGGCTGGGCACAGAGGGCAGGAGCGCCGGGCTTCTCCTGTGTAGCCGCTGCCGCTGGTGCCTGCTGGCAGCTCTGCCCTGCCCCGTGCTGCCCCTTGGGGAGAGGATGTGGCTGGGGCGGTGGGAAGGACTCTGGAAGATTTTGGTGTAGCTTTCGCAGCAGCAGCCATGCAGGTGTAGGGGAAAAGTGTCTCATCAGAGAGCTCCCAGGGCACTTCAGTGGATTGTGAGGCTGGCAGAAACCCAGGCTGGGCAGGATGGATGGATGGATGTGTCAGGATGCAGGACAGCTCCAAGGAGGGGTACTGAGGAATGCTGCTTAGCAGATGATGGCTGGGAATAATTGATTTGTGGTGGTTTTAAACGAAGATAAAGATCAGCCTTGACCTCCTCTTCCTCTTTTGGAAACTTGGTGAGCTTTAACTTGCAGTCCCTTATCCCAGCTATGTTCCAGCTAGTGACCTCACAGCATTTCAGAGGGATTGTATGGAAAGCTCCTTTGATTGTCACCAGTATCCGTTTACTGATCACTGACAATGGCCAGTAGAATTCAGAATGCAAGAAAACTGGAATTCAAAGGTGTTCATAACACAAAAAACAAACCAAACAAACCACACAAAAAACAAACAAAGAAACAAAAAACCAAACCCCGAAAACCCCACCCCAAAAAAAACAAACAAAAAAACAAAAAACCAAACCCTGAAAACCCCACCCCAAAATAAACAAACAAACAAAAACCCACAAAAAAAAAACCAAAAAAACCCCAAAAAAAACAACAAACCCAAAAGAGTTCGGCGGTCACAAAGGTTCAGAAGATAAATTGGGCTGGAGTAGAATGGAATTAAAACACTGAAATTCTGAGCAATGTAGCATCTCACAGCAGCTATGACTTGTCAGGGGAGCATGCTTGGTGAGGAGAAAAAAAAAAAACCAAAAAAACCCCCAAAAAAACAACAAACCCAAAAGAGTTTGGTGGTCACAAAGGTCTAGAAGATAAATTGGGCTGGAGTAGAATGGAATTAAAACACTGAAATTCTGAGCAATGTAGCATCTCACAGCAGCTATGACTTGTCAGGGGAGCGTGCTTGGTGAGGAGCTCTGTCTGAAGCTCCTAAGCTGTCAGAAGCTGGATCCCAGTGATGAGATTAATTTCAGGATATCATATTTGAGTGTTACAAATGTTCTGTACTCTGTCTGGTAATTCTCTCTGACCTTTTTAATAATCTGCATGGATAAGCATGAAGCAGTAGGTGTTGGGGCAGTGGTAAATATGAAAGGCTGTTTCCCTTCTGTTCTGTGCTGAATGCTAGACTGAGCTGTTAATTTTTCTTGCTACATAATACCACTTAAAATGGAGGATCTGCTAAGACTTAAAAAGAAGTTCTGTGTATATATATATATATAGATATATGGATATAGATATATGGGAACAAGCTGTGAGGAGTTACACTGGAGCAATTTTTGTAGGAATTGGAAAGCCAGCTGAACCATGTTTTTTGTTGCTTTATCCTCCAGAAAGCTCCTCTAAAGTATTTAATTCTATCATTCAAAATGGAATGCAAGTCAAGTGGAATAAAAGTGGGGTCACATTGTGTTTTTACAGAGAGGGCAACTCATTTTCTTTTGAAATAGGACACCAAATATACAGCCAGATATCCTTTCTGCTGACAATTCCATTGTAACACAATGCTGGTATGCAGGTGACTGGGCCAGAAAACTGAAGGACATTTGATGGACCTGCATGACCATGGTGTCTTAGGATAGCTGTTTTGTAGGCCAGACAATGAATCAGTGAGCATATTCTTGATTTTTTTTTTTTTTTGCACGATCATCATGTTGTCTTCAAGCTGCTTTGTAACCTTTGACAAACACCAGCTATGAACAGAAGATGATTTAAAATGGAATGTGCAGTAGCTGCCCCCTCAGTCCTCATTGCAAGGAGTGGTATTAATTCCCTTGTCTTTCTGTAAATCCCTGTCACTGAACTGGACACACATTCTGGGAGCCACTGGTGGCTGTTCAGATCACCCTTGAATTTCATCAGCTGCTTTCAGGGAGCTTTGTGTGTCCTGTAAATTAGGGTGAATGTGCCAGAATTTTCTTGCTGTCTTCAGCAAATCCTGTTTGTGGTTTGAGCTCTGCCCTCTCTACTTCCCTGCAGTGCTGCCAACAGCTGATCTTGCTACACTTCTGCACCTGATCAGGTAGCCAGAATTTTCTTTTCTACTGGTGTCACACTGAAGGAATGTGAAGAACCACATCACATTTTTGTACTTGAGCTAGGAGATATATTCAGCAGTGAATGTGGTGTTTTGCTGAGACCAGTGGAGTTCTGAGGATTTACCTGATTTACCTTTGTACACTGACCTAAGTTTGAGCAGCATTTCCTGACAGTGTGATGCATGCACTGATCCATTTAGCAGACCACAATGGTGCTGCCACACTGGGCTGGCTTTTCTTTGGGTCCAGGGGCTCTGCATGGCAAAGTGATACCATGCAGAAGTCTGAGGCTCTATTTAAACTGAGTTGTGGAGAGCTTGGAAAACAGTTACAAGACTAATTGTGTGTGTTTCAGCAAAAATTTTTCCAAAAATCCATGTCTTTCTAGTTTACATTGAGTGCTACAGAAGCTGGGAAAAGCAAAATCCTGGGGCAAGAAACAGAAAAAAAAAGCTATTTGGAACTAGCTGCTGAAAATGTGCAGTTTGTGGTCCTGGACTTTTTAATGTCACAATGAACTGTATTTTTCTGCCTTGATTCCTGGACCTTTCCAGTGTGCCTAAGGCAGCAGCCACCAGCATGGCAATGAGTATTGATTTTATAAAACTTAATCACAGTACATATTTGTACCTTCTCTTGATCTGACTACATATGTCATTGATAAACATGCTGGTGTTGGTGTGTCAAGATGTCTATGCGGTGTTTCAGCTAGTATAGGACCATTTGGTTCAGAAAGTTGAGGAATGTAAAACCATTGTAGCCTGTTTGCAGCATGTGCTAACAATAGTTTTAAAAAGACAGTTGTGAAGGATGATAGGGCAGTGAGCTTTGGGTTAGAACCAGCAGGCACCTGCTCTTTAGGCTGTACTTACTAACAGCTTTGGATAAGCTGAAAGCAAACAAAACTGTATCAGAAAGTTTGCAGGTGGCAGGTGACAGGCATTGGAAATAAGTAAGAAGACCCATTATATTGTGATTTCAATAAGCTGGTAAGTAGGACAGAAAGTGCAAAAAAAAAAGTTTTTTAATATTACAGCATTATTCAGATTGGAAGGAACTTCAGGAAGTTTGTGGTCAAACCTGCTGAAAGTATGGTGAGCTGGGAGATCAGACCAGGTTACTCTGAGCTTTTTCCAATATAGTTTTGGAAGCCTCTAAGATAAAAAAACCTGCACAGTCTTGCTGGGCAAGCTTTTCCACAGCTTAACTGTCCTCACGATGAAAATGTTTTTCTTCAATCCAATCCAATTCAAACTTCCCTTGTTTCAGCTTATACCTGTTGTCTCTCTTGTTGTCTCCGTTCGTGCCAGGCACCTCTGTGAAAAGCCTGGCTCTGTTTTCTTGGTCATGTTCCTCTCAGGTTTTGGAATGTTTGTTAGATCCCCCTCCATGCCTTCTCTTCTCTGGTCTGAACAAGCCCAGCTCACACAGGTCACATTTACAACTAGACAGAAATAAAAAGTAGCAGTGATCCTGGGAATTATCTCCAGTGGAGCTTTTGGTGTAGTGTCACAACTGAAAAACTCCACACAAATCTTCAACAATGGTATCACAGCAACAAGATCATATTATTCCAGAAATATAAAATATAATAACACTTCTTGCAAGCTGGTAGTCTGAGTGTGCGGGTGGAGCAATGAGCATCTATCAGTTCAGCATTTTCTAGATTTATATGTTTATCTACAATGTGCTGCATCTTTTGAGCCCCACTTTTTCTGCCCCAGTACTTAATTAGTCCACCTGGATATCAAAACATAATTATGCGTGTTCTCTAATGAGTGACCTGACAGAGGGTTAATAATAAAACTGCAGCGTGTCCAGTTAAAGGGAGCTATGCATGTTTATGCATAAACAGGGTTTAGAAAAGCAAAGAGAATGAATAAAGGGTAGGAGTGAATATTTGAAGAGCATGGTGTATTTGATCAGACACTAAAACAGACTAAGTGGTGATGCAGTGGAAGTCTGCCTTGTAATAAAAACTGAAACAAAGATCCAGTGGCAGAAAGTTAGACACAGGAGTCTTATCTTCTTTTGTAATTTTTTTTTTTTTACTTAGCTGTAAAGAAATTAACCTTTAGAGGAATTTTTTGAGACCTTTAGATTATCCATCTCTGACTACATTTAAATTGCAAGCTAGGCCATTTCTGATTAATTGTTCCCTTGTTCAACATGTATTAATCTGCAGAATTTACTTGCCTTTGTGTTATGTGGATGGTCAAAATAAAGAGTCACAAGTGTTCCTTCCAGACTTATTCCTGACATTTTAGAGCCCTCTGTCTTCTTGTTTTGTGATCCTTTGAGTAAAGCTGTAGATGTAAAACAAAGGTCACTGGCTAGGAGGCTGAACCTGTTGGGGCTATTAAGCTCTCTTCATTCAGGTTAACCTATTTTTATTCAACAAACAAGTTTAAAAATCCTCCATGCCCTGCATAAATCAATCCTGCATGTAAGATCCTGAATACCTCAAACAAAACCTTCTGTTTTCTCCCAGATCTGTTACCTCTAATCATCCTGCCTGCATTTGTTTACTATTGAATGGATTTGATTGAAGACTCTTCCACAGAGAGAAATGGTGTGTAGATCAAACAGTTCTTGAGTCAGGCAACAGCTTGTGCAAAATTGCATATTTCTGTCTAGGCAGATGCATTTGATGAAGCTTTGGGACAATTTCAGGTTTAGATGTTGGCTCACACAGGTTTGTTACCTTGGAGCAAAGATCATACCTGGGCAATGAGTTTGTGAACCATTGCAAGAACAGCAGCCAGGCAGCAAAAGCAGTGTTGGTCTGCAGCTTAGCTCTGCAGGAAAAGTGAAAAGATGTTTTTGCAGTAGGCTGATTCCACCTTTGCATATAACAGACTGTCATGACTGCTGTGTAAGTGCTGATTGCTTTTATCTCACAGCACTTTTACCTTTCAGATCATAAATAATTTGTGAAAATGCTCTCACACACAATCAGCTGATATTTTCTCTGTCTTCATCAGCAAAGGAGAAATTGAATCTTGTCCTCTTGTGCAGGGGAGAACTTGGTTACTTAGACAGGAAGAATATTTCTTCCTCAGCAGCAAAACAGCAGGTAGCACGTAGATGAAATCATGGATTGTATTTAATAAGGAGCTGAGCTCCAGCTGCTGCCTAGCTGGTTGTGTAATCTCCAGTAAATACCAGGCAGTTATAAAATCAGCATTTTTAAGGTCCTTGTGAAGAGGGGAGACAGTATAAAGACAGATTATTTGCTTGGGGATTTTCTTTAAAGACAGAAACTTTCTCTAAAAGAACACTAGTCAGATCTGAGTTGATGGAACACTGCTGCCTTTGGCTTGCTCTCAGTGAACAATGTTTCCGAAATGCAACACAATTCATGCTATCTATTTATTCATTTATGATAGCACAACTTATAATAATATTTATTTATTTATAATCAGCACTCATCTTCTTGAAGAGTTAAGTGCTTTTTAATCAAACAATAAGCAGAAGAGATTTTTAATAGGATTTATTTATCAGCTGTGCAAAGCTTCTAATTTTGGTGGGCAATTTCCACCAGAGACCTTCAAAGCAATCACATGAGGAGCTGCCTGGCCAAGTGATGTAATTTTTAGATAGACTTTAAATACCAGGAAAATTTGGAGGGAACCCTATGGAGTAGAGAGAAACTGCAATATCAGTATTTTTATTGGACCCATGAAATGATGGGAAGAAGAATGAGGCACTTGTTTAATAATAAGGTCAGTTTGTTAAGGTCAGTGTGCAGTAGGTTGTACATGCAAGGGATGAGAGCATCATCAGTATGAATTCAGGTGGTTTTGTGAAAATGCCACTACCAGATGCACTGTACAATTACTGTGGTGTTTACCTTTGAGTTAGTACATCACAGTGCCAAACAAATGTTAGTAACATACAAAAATAATAGAATGTGAATTCAAACAACAGAATAAAATGTGCCCAGCTTGCAGATTTTGGTCTCATTAATGGGAATTTTTGCCACAGGATATTCATGTGAACACCCACTACAAGGCATGTAGTGTGTGGTACATGAAATTTCTGAGGATGAGACAATACAGATGTTACAATTCACACCATCACAATCAGGAGCCAACTCTTTCCTAATTACAATACATTATAAGCATTTCTTGGCCTATCAACTTTAGCTACACCACGCTGTAAATGCCTTAAACCCAATCTTCTAAAATTGCCCCTTGTGGGTCTTACTACAATGCATCTTTCATAGCTCTATTTCTGTAAAGTATCTAGTCTTTTCTGTAAGGCCACTTTTTGAAACTTGTTTTGAGAATTTTCTATAAATTCATTTCCCACACTGTAAGCCTCTGGCAAGCAATAGTTCCTTCTTCCAAGAAACAGTGTTACTTATTCTCTCAAGTCTGAATAGGGATTGTTCAGCCTGGAAAAGGGAAACTTTGGGATTACCTAATTGCTTCTAATACTAGACACGGTGAAGAAAATTAATTCTGTCCCAGCTGAAACCAGCACATAAGCTAATACTGTTTTAATTTTACATTTTACCATGGCTTGGTTGCAAATCTGCATGAAAATTTAGTCAGTTAATTAGAGGCACTCCATTGACTGGACAATCAGAAGATTGTCTAGGAACAATTGCCCCATTTTATAACCTCTAAAATCGTTGGTTTGCTGGCTGAAGTTCATTTTTCTCTGTCAGCCTCATGTATTTCTGGTTCCATGTGCCAGTCTGCTTGCTGACATTGGAATGCTCTTGTCCATTTGCACAGGAATGACGTGCCAAGCCAGGACCTCATACACAGAAGATGAAGTCCTGTGGGGTCACAGGTTCCTCCCAGTCATGTCTCTGGAAGATGGCTTTTTCCGTGTCGATTATTCTCAGTTCCACGCCACCTTTGAAGTCCCCACTCCTCCTTACAGTGTTAAAGAGCAAGAAGAAAACCTGTCCCAGTCATCTCTCTTGAACAGTCCTTTGGATAAGAAAAGCAGAAGAGAACAGGTTTGTCCTCTTGACTGTGCTGATGTTCCAGGAGAGAAGAACAAGCTCCCTGCTAAACTTCAGAAGATCAGCTCGAGGAAGGAAGGCCTTCCTCCAAGAGCCCTGAGAATGAGTTCCAGTAACACAGAGAAGACTTTCAGTACTGGAGATCTCTTGAAAATTCAAGAAATAAGTCCCATCTCTGATGGTGAAGACAGTGATAAGAGGATGCAGCTGAAAGCCTTAAAAATAAATGCCAAGGCTCTGACTCAGTCTACCAGTGAGCTGGAGTTACAGAAGGATTTTCCAGGTGTGGGTGCTCTAGAGGTGAAATTGGAAGACAATTTTCCTGCCAAACTTTAAAAAATGAACTCTGATCGCTTCTTCTAAGAGCTGGAGAAACAGAAGTTGTTGCTGAGAAACTGCATTTGAGACTGCTGCCCTGGAGGAGTTGTTTGACAGTAAAGTCACAAGTTGGCTTTGCTGCTTTCAGGAAGAATGATCCTTTTGGTATAATTGTTCTGTACAGATCCAATCTAGGTACCATAACAGGACTTTGAGGGGCAGTATGGTTACCCTGTCATGCCAAAGAGATTCCTGCCCTGATGATGCTTATCAGCATGCTCATTGCAAATCTACCCAGTCTTCTCTGTATGCAGATGCTTTTTCACAAAGCAAGGATCACATCCTCAGTCACAGAGATGGAAGCAAGAAGGGTGAAACAGCAGCTGGAACGTGGTTTTGTGCAGCTCAGGTCCTGGACTGCTCCTGATGGGAGCAGAACACAAGAGGAATATGTGACACTGCTCAGTCCTAGTCCAGTTGTCACTTTGGAAAGAGACTTTCCTGGTCCATCCTTCTCTCCCAGTGACTGTGGCACGCTCCCTCTGTGCTCCCAGTGTCTCATCCATGGTCAGTCAGGTAGAGGAAGCAGTGTGCAATAACATTTGGGTCATTTGGCCCACATGAGCTCTCCTAAACATGAGGATCTTTATCCTGTCCAAAATTAGACCTCAGCATTTGATTTGGTGGATCACATGCTGAATTTTAACGGCCATATCACCACTCACTGTGAAGCAAACTTGAGATCAGTAGCTCAGCTTCTTGGCATGTTTTATACTGCAACTAAATAACATTTCAGTTTGGTGACATTGTAAGTAAATGAAAGCTAAGTGCTAAATAATGCTCTGTCATTACACATCTCAGAGTTTTACTAATGAATGGTAGTCTTTGGTGTTGCTAATTTTCATTTTGTTATATTTGCCTTCTCCATTTATATATGATTCTCAGTAATTTTGTAGATTTGATATTTATTGCTATTCAGCTCAATCCACCTCTGTCTGTGAGAGGGGATTTTTCTTTCCTGGTTGGTAATAATTATAAACACACCCTGCTGTTTTGTGAACAGTGTTCAGTAGCTCAGCATACAGGGTGTTCATCACCAGAGCACTCTCCAGTAGAAGGATCAAATTCTGCTCTTATTACATGAACAAAATTCAGTCAAATTTGAAAGGGGTGGTAGTGGCCATATTGTTTGGCAAAGCGTTCCTTGATGGTAAAATGATGTATGCAAGCTAGGAATAGCTTGGCTTGCAGAACTCACTATTTCTTGCTTTTGGTCAGTGGGAAAGAGGAAAATGCTATTTTATGCAGGGATAAGATGTGCTGCTTGTTGTTGTTTATCTGTTCTCAACATGAATTTCAACAATATATATGTGTTAAAATCTGTATTTTCATTTTTCAGCTGTATTTGTATGGAGTACTTAGATGACAGCATGAAGTCTTAAATGATGATGACACTCCGTACTCTCCAGAACTGCCAAAATTAGTGTAAAATAAAATTACATCCACCTCAGGTCTCAAGTGTTCTTTACTTGAATGTGCATGTGTGTGTTGGCAGCAGAGCAGCTCCAGGAGATGAGGCCCCATCCTTGGGCACACTCCCCCTCTGCTGTGGGGCAGAGTAATAGTATTAATAAATTGTTAATGAGCAACAATGCAAATTATCAATGAGTTATCCAACTTAGGGGCCAGGATTTTTTTACACTGCCACTTAAAAAATTAAACCTCCTCATTTCTATGCACACTGACAAATAATATTAACTTAAAGAAAAACTAATTGGACCCCAGAACGCTTCACAAAAGGAGAATGGGTGAGTATAGATGTATACAGAATAAATAAACATAACCTAAAATGTTGAATTAACACATTCTAGGCAGGTGCTTTTTACAGTGTAATGCTCATTACAACCCTCTCCCTACTACCACTGAATGACAAAAAGCAGTATTGCAACAAAAAAGCCCAAAGCAATAAAAATCCCCCACAAAACCCCAAACCAAACAGAAAACCACACGGGCACACTGACACTACACACCCACTGCTGACACCTGATGATAAAAAGCAGCACTAAGAAATAAAAGGATTAGGGTTAGGTTAGAGAAAGAGTGGTAAAGATGTTCAGTGTAGGGGAACATGAGGACCTTGCCAGAATATTCCTTGTGTGTTTGACAGATGGGGAGTCAGTCTGAGTGCCAGCGTGGTCTGCAGGGGAGCTGTGCACAGTTCATGTATCACAATGGGGGGTGGCACAATGCTCTTCTGTCTGCCCCTGCTCAGAAATCCTCACTCCTGGCTGTGAACTCGTCCTCAGCCTGTGCCTGGCCAATCTTCAGCCTTGAGTGTTTCTAGAACAGCTTCTCCTTATTGTATTTGCTGGGAATATCCTGATGAAGGCAGGAATGATGAATCTGACTCCATGTTCTCAGAAGGCTAATTTATTACTTTATTATACTATCATATATTAAAGAATACTATACTAAAGAATACAGAAAGGATACTTACAGAATGCTAAAAAGATAATAATGAAAACTTGTGACTCTCTCCAGTCCTGACACAGCCTGGCCCCAATTGGCCAAAGAGACAAAACAACTCACACCAGAATCCAATGAAACAATCACCCGTGGGTAAACAATCTCCAAACACATTCCAAAGGAGCAAAATATAAGAGAAGCAAATGAGGTAAGAATTTTTTTCTTTTTCTCTGAGGCTTCTCAGCTTCGCAGGAGAAAAATCCTGGGTGAAGGGATTTTTTCAGAGAATGTGAATGCCACATCTCCTGAGACACGAGAGAGCCCAGTTTCAAGTCCCACACCCAGGGATCCCCTTGATGGGCAGCAGAAAAGAGTGTTCCCAACTGCTGTCCTCAAGAGCTGTAGCTCCCTGTGACCTGTGTTCCCTTCTCCCATCACAGCTTGCTTTTGCTGGTGCCTGGCTTGGGACTCCTTGCTTTGCACAGGAGACTGGCCTGGACTGCAAACACGTGCTAACAGTGGCAATAGGCAACTTTATTTCCACAACTAAATCAATTTTAGCATTTGTGTGCATGCAGAGGAGGAAGATGGGCAGGACAGAGGACACCTTTGACCCTGGGGCTGCCTTTGGATGAGCAGGCACTGCCCCAGTACGAAGGGGGCATGGTCCACTGCAGCCTGCGCTGGATCCTGTTCATCCTGCTCCTCCTGCCTTTTTTCCCATGAGGCTCTGCAGCATCTGGTGCACCTGCATTAAGAATTGCTCCAGTATCTGGTACGGATGTGGAGTGGGAAAGAGAGGTTCTGCTGGCATTGGCTCCTCAGAGGGGTTTGAGGTCCAGGCTGGCTCTGGCGTGGCTGCTGCAGTTGGGTATTGAGGAGTGGGTGTAGAGCAGCCTGGTTTTGTTGGTGTTGGTGTTGGTGTTGGCTCTGGCTCTGGTTCTGGCTCTGGCTCTGGCTCTGGCTCCGGCTCCAGCTCCTCAAAGGGGATTGAGCTGAAGGTTGGCTCTGGTGTTGGAGTCTCTGTTTCAACTGGCTGTGGATGTGGAGTGGGAGTAGAGCAGCCTGATTCTGTTGGTGTTGGCTCTGGCAGCTCAAGAGGGGTTGAGATGCAGGCTGACTCTGGTGCTGAAGTGGCTGTTACACTTGGGCACACGCCCATCTGGATCAGGATCCAGTTGTAGAAGTACTGAGTGGAGGTGTAGACTCCTGGCCGTTTTGTTCTGGCACAGCCTTTTCCCCAGCTGGTCACTCCAACAAGCCAGAAGTAGCCTGCACGGTTATCTTTGCACACCAGAGGCCCTCCACTGTCACCCTGCAACAGAGGAGGGAGGATTAGGGTGCTGTTGGGTGGCTGCTCTCAGCACTAGAGGCTTGCTTTTCTCTTGCAGCCCCTGCCCAGCTGTGTTCATGGCACTAAAAGGCTCTGCTCAGGTGCTGGAGTCTCCAGAACTCTAGGATTCTCCAGAACCTTAGCTGGGATCGGGGTGGGTGTCTGTGAAGGCCCCCTCTTGTATCTGCACAGTGATCCTGGATGAGCAGAGCATGGATGATCCAGAATCTGGACCTCTGGGCTGCTGGGAATACTGGATGGGCTTTCTGGGCAGAGGGGCAGGCCTGGGGAGCATGGGCACTTGGCAAGGAATCTCCAGCAGTGGAGGAAAAGTGATTTGCCAGGCAAAGCCCATGGTGACAGGGCACCTTTACTGCTGGGGGCTGGCTCCCAGCACTCCTACCTGGCAGGTGTCCATGGCACCCCGTGGGTAGCCAGCACACAGGTTGTGGGTGTGGATGGCCCCGGCGTACCAGCGGCTGTTGTTCACCAGCCGGATGTCCAGGAGACGGACCTTGGCTTCCTGCAGGACATCACTCAGACCCTGAGCTGGGAGCACAGGAAGGAGTGAGCACCCAGCAGCTCCTTGCCACTTCCACTCCCCCGTCTGGGGGTGAAGTTGTTCCCTAGTAGAGGAATGTGCCCCTTGTTGATGGAGTGACAAAACTATCCTTTGTCCCCTTAAAAAGGAAATAAGCCCAGAAGTTTCTCTCCTCAATTAAGCAAAAAGGCATCTCATAGGACCTGGGGGACTTCACCTCAAACTTAAGGACAGCTAATTGGATGGAAGCCAAAAAGTCCAGCCTGAGCAATTTACTAGAAAAAGAAGAGAACAAAGAAACTAATCGCTTTTGTGAAGTGTTTTACCAGGAGCAGGAGGGCCTCTTGCACCTGGATCAGTTTTTCTCTGTAAAGACTTTGTTATTTTGCCTTTTATTAAAACCTTTTTGCTTCTAACACTACCACATAAGCCATCCTGCTGATTTTATGCCTTCTAAGGTAGCTGAGCTATCTTGGGTGTGAAATAGATCTCCAAGAGCTTATGACACCTGACTCGAGGAGACCCATATTTCACCTTAGGGCTTGGCTTAGCCTCTGGAGCAGCTGTTGAAGTGCTGTGTCCTTTCTGCCTTTGGAGAGCAGAGCAAGCTCATCTCTCCAGAGGCATACATCTTACATCCTTTGGTCTCTGCTGTCAGGAAGCTCAGCCCATTCCTCCAGTGCACCCAGCTCACCCTCAGGGCCCTTTTTGGGCGCTCACCTTTTGCACTGGCAGAACCCCAGCCAGCAATGTAGCAGGTTTTCAGCTCTGACACCGTGAGCGAGGCGTTGGGCACGCAGGCAAGCTGCACGTAGTCACTGCACTCCACGGGCTCGTCCAGCTCCAGCAGGGCAATGTCATTCTGCTGGGAGTCAGCCGTGTACTCCTGGTGGGCCAGCAGCCGCTTGACGTGGCGCACCTGGGCCTCGGGGCCCAGATGGGTCAGCTGGGTGGCCCCGATCAGCACACGCCACATGGTGACGTTCCTGCGAGGCAGAGAGAGGGCTGAGAGGGAGCAGAGCCGTGTGCTGCTGATGCTTTATTTGTATTTTTCATCTCTTTGTAATCCTGCAGCTCTTTGATGTATGATTTCAAACTCCATACACAGTGTTATAGGTGATATTTTTGCCTGACGTCCGGGAGAACTGCATCTTTTCAGAAGGCTAATTAATTGTTTTATCATACTACGTTATTCTATACTATATTACATCTATATTACATTACATCTAAAATGAATCTGCCAAACACTCAAGTGGCACAGCATCTCATGACTGTCTGCCAACAGTCCTGACACAGACAAACACACCTGGATCCATATGGTCAGTGAATCAAAACACCAGAATCCAGTTATCAGTTCCCTTCAGGCAAACAATCTTCCATGATTCATTCCACTTATGAACAACATGGGAGCAGTAAATGAGATAAGAATTGTTTTTTCTTCCTCTGAGGTTCAGAGAATGTGAAACCCAGAAATATTCTTGGGAAGAATTGTGTTTTGCATTTCTCTGAGAAGAGAAATGTAGCAACACCATGTGAGCTGCTGCTTTCCCATTCTGGTCAGACACAACAGTTCCTCTCCAGGCCTGGGAATCCAGGACACCTCACTGCCTCAGGCCCCAACAGATGTGAACAAAAGTGAGTTGGGAGGAGCAAACTGGGGGTAAATTACTTCATTAACTGAAACTATAATTGGAAGATTAACCTCCAATACGCAAATGGACCAAAGTTATAGGTGTGAAAACCTGTGACCTGTGGTCCATTTTTGGGTGTAGCACCTGGGGGGGGCTTTGTCTGCCCAAAATGCACCTGAAGGCCCTTCAATAAATATAACCACCTTTTATCTGGCCTGTTGTATGTCCGGCCTGTTTTTAGGTAGTCCCAAAAAGCATCACTGTGGCAGCTCAGCACTTCCCTGCCCTCTGCTTCCCAAGGCAGAGAGGAAAGCAGAGCAATGAGGAGTGTGACTGCCCTGGCATGCCTTAGGCTCCAGGAATGCCACGCTGGAGGCTCCTGGGCAGCAGTGGCACGAGCCCAGCCTTCTGATGGGCTCTGCAGTGCCAAGGCACTGGGCACACTGCAAGGAACCAGGAGGGCAGCAGCATGTGGTGCTGCAGGCTGGGCAACTGTGAGGATACCCTCATTCCTTGCTCCTCCTTACCTGGCCTGGTGGAAGCAGTGGGCTGCTGTGAGGACCCACTGTGGGCTGATGAGGGACCCTCCACACGTATGGCCAGTGCCTATTTTCCTGGGGTCCTGGATGCTGACAATCCAGGGCCAGGCTCCCGGCAGGGCACCTGCGCCAGCCATGATTCTGTAGTCAGCAGCTATGGAGTTGTAGTCAGAAGCCATGGGCCGCTGCCCACAGGTCCCTCTGGAAGCACAAAGTCATTAGAGTGATAAAGTTCTGGAATGGCTGCCCAGGGAGGTGGTGGAGTCACCATCCCTGGATGTGTTTAAAACAAGCCTGGATGTGGCACTGGGTGCCAGGGTTTAGTTGAGGTGTCAGGAAATGGGTTGGACTTGATGATCTTGAAGGTCTCTTCCAACCTGGTGCTTCTGTAATTCTGTGATTACTGCCCTGCCCAGCAGCTGCTGCTGCTCCTGCTGGCTCCTTCTGCCCCCTCCCACCTGGGGTTTGGGGTGTGACAATGGCCCCCTCCCAGAGCCTGAGGCCATACCTGCAGTTGTCCCAGGTGCCATGTGCAGGTGTGTACACAGCCAGCAGGATGAGGAGGTACAGCAGGTTCATCACTGCCAGGAAACAAAAGCTTGTCTCTTGCAGTGCAGCCTCCGAGCCAAGTGCCTGCAGCAGCTGCATTGCCCATGGCACCTGCAGCCCTGGGGCTGATGTCACAGAGTGGGTAGTTCCAGGTTCTGGGCACGGTGTCCTCAGAGGGCAGGGAAAGGCCATGGCCTCGGGGAACCACAGAATGGTTTGGGCTGGAAGGGACCTTGAAGGTCATGCAAGGCAAAAGGGGTCCCGTGCCTGCAGAATGACACCATGGGCAGATAAATCTGGCACAAAGGGAAAGTCAGTGACCAAAGGCACCCCCTGAGGGAGCAGAGGGACACCCAGGCTCCCCTGGGGGAGCAGAGGGACACCTGGGCTCCCCCAATGCAGCAGAGGGACACCCACATTCCTCAAAGGGAGCAGAGGGACACCCAGGTTCTCCCTCCTCTAGGGAGCAATCAGGATCCAAAGTCTGTTTTGTTTAAGGTTCTCAGGACACCTTCCTGGGCACTTACCCTTTGATTTTTATCTAAATCTGCAGTGGTTTTGATGCAGAGGCATCAAAATGAAGTGCAGAAAGCAGACCTCCCTCCCCTGAAGCTGCAGCTTCCCCCCAGCTCAGAGGGATCAGAATAAACCTTTGCTGGGAGCAGTTTTGTTACAGTGCCCCATCACTTGGACCCTCTGCAGCCTGGGGAAAATCTCATCCTTGGCTGGCCATACGGATACAACAATCACAACATAGTAGAGAGTTTTCTGTTGTGTACTGAATGGTCTTTGTTAGTCTCTTCTTTATCTTCTGGTTTCTGCAAAATGTCCTTGTGACCTATAAATTCTGCATTCGTTGTGTCCAATTTCAGCAATATATCTCTGTCTCTCCAGACTTTGTTCATTGAGGCATGTCAAGGTTAGTTCAGCAAAACTTTAGAGTGGAGTAATTTTTCCAGTAATTTTTCCAAATTTTGTTCCCAAAATAGCAGCTTATGACAAGCTTTGCTAAATGCTGGCTAAAAGTGGTTTAAAACGAATATGCTGCTTATGATTAATATACTAATCATATTTACTAATATATATTAGCACATATATAATAATACTAATCATAATATAATATTAATTTTAAAAATTAATATAATTTAAAAATAAATTGTTTAAAATTCATATTAATTAAAGATTTATTTAAAAGTTAATTAAAATTAGTTTAAAATTTTTAAATTAAAAGCTATCATGCCCCCCTATGAGCAGGGGACAGGCAGTGGTCAGAAGTGCCATCATTAATTGTCTCCATTGGAGTTCCTCAGTGCCCCTCTCTGTTTACAGAGCCCTGACTGCTGTACAGCACTCCTGAGCAGAGTTGTGTAAATCTCAGACTGTTCCCTGTGGTCAGATCTTGGATCCTGATCCTTGGATCCTGATCCTGTGAGGCTTGCAGGGAAAAAAGGCAATTATTGCCTAGGTGGAAGTGAGAAGGAAAACCTCATTGCTAAATTAACACAAATGTAAAGGGAGTAAATTGCAGCAGTGCTGGGGTGGTTCTGTGCCTCAGACTCTCTCCAGCAGGAGGGTGTTCGGTGGGCCCTGATCTCCAAAAATCCATCCTTGCTTTCACGGCCTTGAGACAGAACTTGGTGAAACTTGGTGGCCCAGGCTGGGAAGGGACCAAAGCAGCCAGTTGAGGTGGGGGTGATGCCTTTTGGGACTACCTACACACAGAGGCCAGACAAAATTAAGGGAATAAAAAGTGGTTCTATTTATTGAAGGTCCTTCAGGTACATTTTGGACAGATGAAGTTCCCCCAGGGGCTACACCCAAAAATGGACCACGGGTCATGGATTTTTATATTTTTATAAGTTTGGTCCATTTGCATATTGGGGGTTAATATTCCAGTTACAGCTTCAGGTGATGAAGTCATTTACTCCCAGTTTGCTCCCCACAACTCAAACTTTTGTTCACATCTCTTGGGCCCTGAGGTGTCCTGGATTCCCAGGCCTGGAGAGGAGCTGTTGTGTCTGCCCAGAATGGGAAAGCAGCAGCTCACACTGAATATCAATTTAGAGTTATACAGGAAAGAACTGCAGGATTACAAATAGATGAAAAATATAAAAGCTAAAATCTGAAGGCATCAGGGGTGAATAGCAGCCAGCTGCCTCCTTGGAGCACGAGGAACACCAGCTGCCTGCTGCTCAGAACTCCCGGCCTCGTGGGTCAAGTGCAGCAGGAACAAAACTACCTCCAGCTGTCCTGAGTGGGAATCTGGCTAAAGCTGTACCTGATCAAACCCAGCCTAACCAAGGCTGGAGGAAGGGGTCAATGTGGGGCTGCTAAAAAGCTGCCCAGGAGAGGCAGCAGCTGGGTGGGGGCCTGGCAGCCAAGTTCACCCAGCTCAGGCCCTGCAGGGTCCCTTTGGTGGCCCAGGTCAGCCTTGAGGGCAGACCAAATTCACTGGAAATGACCCCGTGAGAGCTTGGGTGCTTTGCCACATGAGTCTCAAGACACGTGGGTGTCTTGGGTGCTCTGCCACACGAGTCCCACAGCAGCCTGTGTGCCAGGCAGAGCTGCGGCCAGGCTTTGCCAGCTCTGGGCAGGCCGGTGCTCGCTGAGCTCTGTGGTTTGGGGAAGGAGTGGCAGCTCTGCCAGCCTGTGAACCCCTCGTCATCAGCAGCACAGGGGGGGTCCCAGTGATTTCCACTGTGAGAGCAGCCATGTGTGTTGCTCTGCACAGGAGCCATGGGGCTCTGTGGCCTCAAGGGGACACATCCCTCTGTGTCCTGTGTCACAGAGGGGCAGAGATGTGGCACCTCTCCAGTGATTGTGACCTCACCTGCCCAGTGCTGGGTATCCTGAAGGCAGGCTAATGGAAGTGCTGGCCTTCAGGATAACTCAGCTTCTTTCTTTGCTACTCATGTGCCTGCCTTTTAAACAAATTTATGGTTTACTGTCCTCCTCAGCTGTCATCCTCTCTAAGGTGATTATGATTTGATTCTTGAGATAGATCATCTGGGATAAAAGTCTAGGCTGGTTTATATCTTCTAGGCTGCACAGATACAGGCTAGAGTTCTTATTTGCTGATTCTCTTTACTATAGCCTCAGATAGGTAAGTAGGGGGTGATTGTAGTCTGAGGGGCTGGGCTCAGTCCAGAGTGGCAAAAAGCCCACCTTGGCTGCTGCAGGAGGGAGTGAGACAGAAAAAGGAGAGCAGCAAAGGCAGTAGTTAAATTAGTGGCTGAAAGCTGGCCACTCCTGCAGAGGAGGTGGGAAAGCCAGAGAGCTCTGCTGTGGATGCTGTGGCAGCAGCAGCAGCAGGGACTCTTCAGAGAAGGGAACATGCACTGGAGCACTTCAGAGTGACCTCTGAACCTCCTGTGAGCTGGGACTCTGTCACTGATCCCAAAGGTGTGAGCCTGCAGCTCAGCAGCTGGCTCTGAAGCACCACAAGCACCACTGAAACTCTGGGTGGCAAATGCTGTTCTGTTGGTTGTATTTATTTGGAGTTTTTATACATTTAGTGAACTAGAGTAATTTCTTTGCAATCAGGTGATGGGATTGACACAGGTCTCTTTCTGGAGCATGTCCTGATGTCCTTGGTCATCCAGAGCTTTGCCCTCTGTTCCTGAGAGAGGCAATGGCCACAACAGGGAACGATTTCTGTGAGTAACAGCTTCACTGGCAGGTTTGGACTTTGTGAATCCCCACAGACAACTGACATGACTGCTGGTCAGATCCCAGAATGGTGTGCTCACAACCCCGAGTGAGCTCTGGGATGTTTCCTGAGAGCAGCCAGACTGAGCAGGTGTTTATGATTAGTCACAGGAGAGCACCTTTTGTCTCTCCTTTGTCACTATGTACAAGACTTTGGAACATCATTGCTCATAGAGAGGGCTGACATCCTTGAGTTACCTTTTGTGTTCAGTACTTGCTTGTTTTCAATAAGTTACAATCAGGGAAAGCTTGACCTGATAATGCAGTTTACAACTCTGGTGAGAAAGGAAGGTACCCTGGGGCCCAGAAAGCAGACTTGGGGTTTGTTGGACTCTTGGCAAAGTAAGCAGGGGAGCATTTTTCCAAACCAATAAATTTCAAAGGCAGTGCTAGGCTTCCCCTGATACTGAGTTGAAGGTTTGAGCTGGTTGCCCTGACTGCTTGTGTGGAGAACTCAAAGTTTAAATATATTTTTTTTTTTACTCATCTCTTTCCAAATGGAATTTCTCTGCAGTCATTGCTGAGGGAATGGCTCCTCCAAAAAGGATCCTCTTTCCACCGGAGAAGATCTGCATGGTCTGGCAGCAGAGACAGAGGGCTGGGGCTGGGCTCTTCAATGTGGGCAACACGTGCTTCCTCAATTCTGTGCTGCAGTGCTTGACCTACACCCCCCCGCTGGCCAACTACCTGCTGTCCCGAGAGCACAGCCAGGCCTGTGAGTGCTTTTAGCAACATCTCCTTGAAAAATCTGTTCGTCAAATCCCAAAGATTCCCAGAACCTGGAATTAGATTTAGGAAGAACAGCAGCCCTTCGTCAGCCCCATGAGTTTATGTTCTTTGAGCACTCAAGCCTAGAAGCCACTTGTCCTACCCAGCTTTCTTACCCTTCATGAAGACACCTCTTTGTAGCTCCAAGTCTTTATTCCTGCAAGTTAAACCCTCTTGGCTTCATGCACAGAAAACTGTCAGTTTATCATTCCTCTTAAGAACATTTTCTAAATGCCCTAGGATCACTGGGATATTGGGAGGAGTGGAGTATTGCACTGGAACGGGAGTGGAAGAGGGGGAGTACCCCACTGCTGTGGATATTGTGCTAACCTCAGGACCTTCCCTGTGTCCTTCTTCAGGTCACCAGCAAGGTTTCTGCATGATGTGCATCATGGAAGCTCACGTGAACAAGGTTTTGCATTCCCCTGTCAGTGCCATCCTGCCTTTGCCTGTCCTCAAGGTTTTCAGACGTGAGTCATGCCAGATGTTTTGACAGGTTTTCTTCCCTCCTTGTATGAGAGAACTACAAACTTCTTCTTTCTTAGGTATAGGAG